TATATTTATTTCTCTGTTTATATTATTTATATCATTGTATTCTTATTATTATATATATTATTATATTCTTCTTATTTTATGTTTTTTATGTTTATATTCTTTAGATTTTCTTATTGTTATTCTTTTATATTTAAATGTATTTTATTATTTGTTTATTCATCTTTATCATTTTTATATTCTTATCATTTATATCTATTTTCATTTTATATTTATTCTCTTTTGTTTTATATTAATATTAATTTATATTTTATACTTTGATTTTATTATTATATCATTGATTATCATTTCTCCTTTTATTTATCATTTATTCTTATTATTCTTTTGTTTTATATTCTATCTATGTTATATATTCATATCATTTTCATTTATATTTTATCATTTATTATATGTTATAATAACATAACACATATGATTGATTATATAATAAACATCATGATGAAATTACACACATAAATAATAAACATAAAAAAGAGTAAAATATTTTTCATTAATAAAATATTGTTAATCATTTTACATCATTAAATTAGACACTTTTATTTCATATTTCTAATTTTTACATTAAAAATACACTTTTTATTTCTTCTTTTCTTCTTTTATTACATCTTTGTGATTTATTATTTTTATATTCTTCTTCTACATTCTTTTTATTCTTTTATATATTTTTATTCTTTTTATATTATTTGTTTTTCGTTGTTTTTCTATTTCTTTCTTCTATTATTTATCAATTTTATATTCATTTATTCTTTTTATTTCTTTTTTATTATTTCTTGAGTATTGTATATTTCTTTATTATTTCATTTGTGTATTATCAAAATATATGTTTTATTGATTTTATGTTGAATAAAATATTGAATAAATCAATATTTTCAATGTAAATTATTCATTATTTATTCTGAAATGTTGTGTATATTTATTATATTAAATGAATATGATGAATGAATATCAGTAATATTGTTTATTTGATTTTAAAAAATAATAAATGAATATGAAATAATGAAATAAAATAATGAAGACAATGAAATGACAATGAAATAGAATAATCTAATATTGAACAAATCAAATAAAGAATATATTGAATATATCATTATTGTTACTTTATTATTTGTTATTTCAATTATTAAATATTAATAAATTATTCATGAATATTTAATTAATTGATATTTTACATTTTCATTTTCATTTTATTTAATAAATGAAATATAAATAATAAATGAATGAATAATAATTTAATATATGAAATAATAAAAAGAAAGATAAATAATAAAGAAATATGATGTATTTAATATATAATATAATTTATTATCAAATATAATAATATCAAATGATGAATTATTTTTATTTCAAAATATTTTGCATCAATAAAAATGTTGCTAAATATTTTGCATCATTAAATTTTGCATCATTAAATTTTGCACTTTTTTTATTTGTTTCAATAAAATTTGCATCCTTTATTTTTTTCATTCTTTTCTTCTTTTATCATCTCTTTTGTTTTATTACACTTTATCTTCTTTCTTTTTATCTACTCACATTTCTACTTTTATTCTTTCTTCACCATATTCTACTTCTTACTTTCTTTTTATTCTTTTATATCATTCATTCTCTTCTTTTTCAATTATTTGCTTTTTTCGTTGCTATTTAGAAGTATATCAATTTGAGGATTTATCATAATATTCAAATCTCACTATTTTCTTTGTTGTTAATAACATTCTTCTTTTTTAATTTTCTCCAATTTCTCATTCAATGTCATTTGAATTGATTAATGAATATCTATGAGACAAAACACTTGAACCTTTGTGTTATTGCATTTCTATTTCAGATGCCGACTCTCATTTTCTCTTTTTTCAATAATAAAAATCCTTTTTAGATGAATTTATCTAGAACATACCGTACTAATCCATTTCCAATATTCATGTATTGTTTTGAACTATGAAAAGAATCACTTCTCATTATAATTAAATATAAATTAGTTATGTATTTACTTACAACTTCACTTCCTGTCTCTTATTAATTTCTTCATTCTTTGACTATTCAGTAATTTATTATTGATACTTTTGAGTTGAAACGATAGGTAAAATGAGACACATATGAAACATCATTCACACACTAATACATTGCATGTTTTGACACTCTCAGTTATTATTTGGTTATGATAGTGTACTTGAATTAGAAATATATTATTTAATATTGCAAATTGTTGAGCAAGATATTATGGTTGAATATTACTTATTGTAATATAAGAATTGGTATTTAATAATAAAGAAATTAAGAAATATATGAAGGTATTAATTAAGAAAAAGGATTTGCTAAATTGTGGTTAATTCCAAAGGAATTAAACATAATAATATAGTAGGAATGAAATAGTCTCTTCTCTCATTCATAAAATAAGAAAAAGGAAAAAGAAAATTGTTTAAAATTAAATCAGAAAATAAACAAATGATTAAAAAGAAGAACTAAGTTAGAAAAAGTTAGAGAAGACATTAATAGAAAGAAATAAAGCAAAGAAGTTCTTTTCTCATTTTCTTAGACAAACCTAAAGATTAAATTAAACAAAAAGATTATTCTTTAAAAAAACAGCTCAAGAATGGGATTAGTCTCTGCTGAGCAAGGAAGAATAGATGAATTTCTATCAACACTTAATTAACTAATTTTTATTTTTGATATTTTTTAGTTGAAAGTTGAGGAATATCAAGAAACTAAAATAAACAAAAAACAACACCTAAGATGAAGTCAACCCAAAATAACATTGAACTAAGAGAAGAGAAACACAAAATGACAGTAGAAACCAGTGAAATAATGAGAAAAGAATCTGGAGATAAAAATAACGAGCAAAACGAACGAAAAACAAAAGAGTTAAAGGATGACAATGTTAAAATCAAAGAACAACACAATCCAAATAAAACACAACAAATAATTAAACAACTAGAAGAATGGACTGAGAAACGAATAAGAGATATTATATTTGATTCAAATATTGATAATTGGAATAGAGGTAAAACATTATTTGGAGAACGAATAAAGAATAAAGAACATCTAATATTTATTGTTGAAGACACTGAAGGAAACATATTTGGAGGATATGTTAATGAGAAAATTGGCACAGAAGAAGAAAGTTATATACTTGACCCAAATGCATTTGTATTTTCATTAGAATCGAAAGGAAGATTAAAAGAAATGATGAAGTTTGACATTAATGAGTACCACGAAGCATTTTATTATGACACCCAATACTATAACTTTGCACTGTTTGTTTTTGGAACTGGAAGAGATATTAGTGTTTGTAAAGAAATCTATAAAACAGAATCATATTGTTCTCAATGGTCATTTAATTATAAAGGAATATCAAATCCATTTTGTGGTAAGTGCCGTTTCATACCACAACGAATCATTGTAATTGAAGTGGAATGATTTTGATTATTTATGTTTAATTTGAAACAAAAAAAAAAGAAATAAAAAACAAAGAATCAATAATAATGTCAAATGATGTAAATTTATTATTATTGATTATTTTATGTATTTTCTAATATAATACAATGTATTGTGTATGATAAAATATTAAATATGATATGTTCTATTAATAAATATGAATGAAATATTTTTGTATTTCAATCAATTACAATATTCATATAATTTGATTATTATTTTATTCTTTCTTGTGTTTATTTCTCTTTTATATTCATTCTGTGTGTTTAGTACATAATGCAGTCATTATAAATCATTATGAATCATATAGTCTTTTGTTTGAATATAAATATTTTATATTCTACAATTATATATATTCTATCTGATACTTCTAATTATTAAAATAGATAAGAACCACAATTTATTCAGCCAATAATTGAATATGTTTCTCATAATCTTTATTTTCATTTTAATTAGAATGAATGTATGAAAATCACTTAACAAAGAAAAGCTTTATATCGACTGAATAATGATATTATTATTTATTCTATCTATAATTTGTCTTAACAATTAAATATTCATTAATAGAATAGATATAATAAAGACTTTTAATGAATAAAAAGAATAATAAACAAAATAAAATAAAAGAGAATCAAAGAAAGGAAAAGAATAAATAAATTTTACTCATTCTTCTTTTATTTATTCCAATAATTAAAAAAAAACAAGAATTAATTTTAATCTTCTTTATTAAATTTATAACTTTTCTCAATCAATTAAATATTTAACTTATGTTAATATCGTACTTTCTTTTTATAATTTTGTTTTCCTTTCTTTTTATCAAACTTTTTCCATTCACTTTGTTGTCCTTGTAATTCATTAAGAATCTTTCCATATGCTTTCTTTTGTTTTTGTCTTTCAATTTCTTCTTCATATCGTTTCATATCACTAATATTTTGTGTAATTCCTTCTTCAATTTTAGATGCTTTACGTGCTTCTTCTTTAATCTTCTTCTTTACTTCTCTAACTTCTTTTTGTAAATCAACTTCATGTAGTCTTGGATTAAACATTTTAATCATTCCAACATTTTTCTTTTCAACTAATGTAACTTGAATTTTCATTTTCTCTTCTTCTTTATTCCATTCTTCTA